AAAGACAAAACCACCAAAGATTTTGAAACATTGAGGCAAGAGATTGTAGCCCTCAAACACCTGAAAAATACAGTAGAATCCCTTAGTATCTGAATGGAGCAGGCAGAAGAAAGGATCTCAGATGTAGAAGACAAAGCTTCTGAATGTGCCCAAGGGTCCAAAGAGGAACAGAAATGGAAAGCAAAAATGGAGCATTCTCTCAGAGAGCTCTGGGATAATTTGAATAAAACTAATATTCGCCTTATAGGAATCCCTGAAGGCGACGAAGTTGCTTCACAAAACACAGAGGCTTTTCTTCATGAAATTATGAAAGAGAACTTTCCAGATATGCCAAGAGATCCTGAAATTCAGATCACAGACAGCTTCAGAAACTCAGCACAACTCAACCCAAATAAGATATTCCCCAGACACATCATAATTAACTTCACTAAAGTTAATATGAAAGAGGAAATCCTGAAAGCAGACATAAGAAAACCATAACCTACAAAAGGAAGAATATCAGAACGACTGCAGATCTCTCTGCCAAAAACTGTCAAGCAAGAAGAGGGTGGTCATCGACATATAATCTCCTAAAACAAAATAACTTTCAACCCAAAAGTCTGTATCCAGCTAAACTAAGTTTCATTCATGATGGAGAAATTAAATACTTTAATGACATTCACATGTTGATGAAATTTTCCATAAGTAAACAACCTCTCCAGGATATTCCCAGACCTATACTCCATAAATGACCACAGCAATCCTCCAAAACAAAAGTAAACTCACTCAGAAACTATTGATCAAATTCCAACTTCCACAGTGGAGAAAGGATTACATATGTCCACTGGACTTTTGAACAACTCAATACCCAAAATTTTAATAGGTTTATCAATAATTTCAATATATGTGAATAGCTTAAATTGTTCTCTAAAGAGGCACAGATTGGCTGATTGGATACAGAAACTCAGACCAGACATCTGTTGTATACAAGATTCTCACGTTACCTTATAATATAAATATAGACTCAGGGTGAAGGGATGGTCATCAATATTCCAGGCAAATGGAAAGCAGAAAAAAGCAGGTGTTGCAATTTTATTTGCAGATACAATAGATTTTTAAACCAAAAAGTAAGATGGCTATTTTATATTTCTTAAGGGCAATACTCAATATGATGAGATCTCAATTACCAATATCTATGCGCCCAATCAGAATGCACCTCAATTTATGAAAGATACTCTAACTGGCATGAGCAACTTGATCTCTCCCAGTTCCATCATAGTCGGAGATTTTAACACTCTTTAGCAGTGTTGAATAGATCCTCCAATAAGAAGCTTAGCAAAAAAAAAATTAGATTTAAATTTAACTATTCAACTTCTGGATTTAACAGACATCTACAGAATATTTCATCCTAACAAAACCGAATACACATATTATCTTATCAGTACATGGAACGTATTCCAAAATCAATCACATCTTAGGTCATAAGTCCAATCTCAGCAAATTTAAAAGAACAGAAATTATTCCATGCATCTTCTCGGACCATCATTGATTAAGTGTTCAACTCAGTAACAAAAGGAATTTGCAGTTTCTTACAAAAAAATGGAAGCTAAATAACCTTAGGCTGAATGATAGATGGGTCAGAAACGAGATCAAGAAGGAAATTATCAAATTTTTAGAACAAAATGATAATGGAGACACGAGTTATCAGAACCCCTGGGATACTGCAAAGGCAGTTCTAAGAGGGAAATTTATAGCATTGCAAGTCTTCCCCAGAGAATGGAAAGAGAGGAAGTTAAGAACTTAGTGGGATATCTTAAGCAAATAGAAAAGGAAGAACATTCCAATCCCAAATCCAGCAGAAGAAAAGATATAACCAAAACAGGAGAAGAATTGAATGAAATTGAAAACAAAAGGATTATAGAATAGATCAATAAATCAAACAGTTGGTTTTTTGAAAAAGTCAATAAAATAGATCAACATTTGGCCAACCTAACCAAGAAAAAAGAATAAAATCTCTAATCTCATCATTCAGAAATGGTAAAGATGAAATAACCAGACCCCTTAGAAATTCAAAAAATTCTTAATGAATATTACAAGAAACTTTATTCCCAGAAATATGAAAATCTGGGGAAATTGACCAATACTTTGAAGTCCAACAACCTCCTAAAACTTAACCAGAAGTTAGTTGATATGTTGAATAGGTCTATATCAAGTTCTGAAATAGCATCACCTATACAAAATCTCCCTAAAAAGCAAAGCCCAGGACCAGGTGGCTTCACGTCAGAATTCTACCAAACCTTTAAAGAGGAAATATAGTACCTATATTACTCAGCCTTTTCCAAAATATTGAAAAAGATGGAATACTACCTGACACATTCTATAAAGCAAACAGCACCTTGATTCCCGAAAGAAAAAGACCCAACAAGAAAAGAAAATTGAAGACTAATATCACTAATGAATATTGATGCAAAAATATTCAACAAGATCCTAACCAACAGAATCCAGCAACCCATCAAACAAATTATACACCACATCCAAGTGGGTTTTATCTTAGGATCTCAAGGATGGTTCAACATACATAAATCTATAAATCTAATTCATCACATAAACAAATTAAAAAAACAAAGACCATATGATTCTCTCAAATGATACAGAAAAACCTTTTGATAATATCCAGCATCATTTAATGATCAGAACACTTAAGAAAATTGGTGTAGAAAGGATATTTCTTAAACAGATA